ACAAGTGCTTCTACTCACTGAATCTTCTCTTGGTCTCCCATCCTTAAGGCTTTTGATTTGGTAATACTGGGTCAGAACAATTTCATCTGTGTTCTTGAAAGCTCTGGGGTGTGTTTGAAGTTCAGACAGTGTTGTCATCTCTTAGTTTAATGTAGTGATTTATAGAGATATATTATTCTATGTTAAGACAGAAGACATTATCACAAACTTTGGGGCTGGGAAGGTTACCATGCAAAGAATAATTACTGTTATATCTGTAAAACTGAAACTACTTAGCCACATTGTAAAAGGCAGAATTAGTTCCTGTTCATCTTATCTAAACAATTGTATTAGTAAGCTCAGGATTCCATAACAAATGAATACAGGTAGTTGACAAAAGTTATTTGTTTTCTCTCTGTTGTGGAAGCTTGTAGTCCCTTATCAAGGTACTATTCAGGTTGGTTTCTGATAAGTTCTCCTGACTCACAGACAGCTATGGTCTTGTTCTCACTGTATCCTCAAATGGCCTTTTCACTATGCACAGGATAGGAAGCGGGTAGAGGAAATGGAAGAGGGAGTTGGGGGGAGGTGGAAGAGAGAGGTGCTGATTTGCTATTTCTTCCTCTTGTTGATTTTCTCCTTACAGTGAGTTATTTAATGATAATATAATTAATAGATCATCTTTATTTAAAAAATGTGATTGTATTACTTTTCCTTTTTTATCTTAACATTTATTTATTTGTGGTGTGTTGTTGCAGGTTCTCCTCAGGCCAGCTGTGAAGACCCTGACCTGGATCGGGTCCCCTGCCGATTAGGGGGGTAAGAGGCGTGGAGTCACAACACACAGACCCTGGGAGTCAGGTGGAAGCAAGCACTAGGCGAGGTGCAGCAGGCTCCTTTAATGCAGGAGGAGGCACACTTTATATTTCCCTTTTCTCTGCCCCCAAGTCCCTTTAGTCAGCGTATAGTATTCTGATTGGTCCGCACCATGCAGTCTGTCAGCAGCCACTGGACTCCCGAGCAGGGTACGGAGGTGGAGGTGTGGGCTCCTTTTGGCAGGCTATTTGAGGACCAAGAAGTGAAGTGAATTCTTGCTGAATCCCAGGGCTCTGGGTCCGCGCCATCTTTGGAGGCCTCCTGCTACAGTGTGTGTGTGTGTGTGTGTGTGTGTGTGCAGATGCCACAGCACAGGTATGGAGGTCAGAGGATTACTTGGTTCTCTCCTTCTATTATGTGGCTCCTGAAGATCTAAGGCAGGTCATCAGGCTTGGTGGACAATGCTTGTTCTTGCTTGTACCAGCTGATAGGCCCTCATCTTATTTATTTCAATTAAGCACTATCTTTTTTCACAGCATTGACCAGCTGTGAGTTGCTTTATTAATGGCTGCCCACTATAGAACAAGGCTTCTCTGGCCATGATTGAAAGGGCATAACCATAAATATTTAGAAGGCAGTTTGACAACATGCCCAGTTAGTAGAACAATAGTAGCACATTCCTTCCACTTCTCAGGGCCTTTGACCTCTCAAGTTATAAATTTTTGACCAAGTTTACAGTATCAGTCATGAATTCTATTCTGTGAAGCAGGCCTCAAATACAGTCAGGAAGCAGTTGGTTGCTCTCATAACCTTTATGCCACTATTGCATCAGTGGACACATCCTGCCTGGTAGGTTGGCATTATAACATTCAGGGTTATTGCTGGGTAATAACATTAATGAGTTTTTCCTCCAGCAGCAAATTGATTCAAGATCTTGTGAAGGGTAGTTAATGTATCACATAGCCCTGGTTTTAGATAAAAATAGCCTAAAACAGATAAACATAGATAATGATAGAGAAAGAGAGAGAGAGAGAGAGAGAGAGAGAGAGAGAGAGAGAGAGGAAGAAAGAGAAAGGGAGAGGAGGCAGAGAGGAAGGAATGGAGGGAGACATCACTATATTCAGGAAACATTAGTTCCAACTGTGAACCACTATACAAATCTGTAATTTCAGGCAAAACCACAAAGTTGTTGGCATGGTTAGCCCTCACACACTTCTATGATGAAAGATAATTATATCACCAACCTTATTATTTCACTACCCATATGCCAGCTACCTTTTCTCCTACCCATCCCATCTCTAAAATATTATTCTTTTAGTTTCTTTAGCAATGACCATTGTCTTAGTTTGTTCTTTATTGCTATGAAAAAACACTCTGACCACTACAAACTTGGGGAGAAAAGGGTTTATTTATCTTACATATCCGGGGTCACAGTTCATTGGGGAGCCCAAGGTAGGAACTCAGAGCAGGAACCTGGAGGCAAGAGCTGGAGCACAGGCCATGGAGGAACACTGCTTACTGGCTTGGTCCCCTGGCCCCTGCTCAGCCTGTTTTCTTATGCAACACAGGCCCACCTGCCCAGGGGTGGCACCACCCACAGTGGGCTGGGCCCTCCCATATCACTCATCAAGAAGATGCCCCTCAAACATGGCCACAGGCCAGTCCAATAGAGGAAATTCCCCAATTGAGGCTCCCTCAACCCAGGTGTGTCAAGTTGACACTAAAACTATCCAGCACAACCATGGTTGTGGAGCAAAATGAATATTTTAAGATAATGTCATCTAGGGGCTAGGGATGTAGCTCAGTGGCAGGGTGTCTGTCTAGTATGTGCAAAGTCCTGGGGTCAATCCATCCAAAGGCAAAATTTGTCTAAACATGCCCTTGTCCTCTGCACTTTGCAATACTGGTGGTTAAAGGAATTCAGAAAGCTGGGCATGGTGGCGCACACCTTTAATCCCAGCACTCGGGAGGCAGAGGCAGGCAGATCTCTGAGTTCAAGGCCAGCCTGGCCCACATAGTGGGTTCCAGGACAGCTGGGGCTACAGGGAGACCCTGTCTCAAAAAGACCAAAAAAAAAAAAGGAATTCAGAAAAGATGCTGTGGACTCTGAGAAGAAACATGGACAGACTGATGGCATTTATAATTTGGTAATTTCTAGCATGTATTCAGGGGGATTCTGAAGTCCAAAAATAGGATAATCAAAAAAGTTCAGTTGACTTATCAACCTGCTTTCTCACAGGAAAATACTTTTCGGAGATCCTTCAGTTGATCATAAGTAATTTAAAAAGAATGATTTCAAAACTTCTGATGAATACAGCTTTTAGTATGAACATTTTTCAAAATTCAACTCCTTTTCTGATTAATAAAAAATTTATCTTTAAAAAAATTGTTTTATTGAATTTTTGTGTATTTTATACAGAATGTCTCAAACAATCTTAATCATCTTTATACCGCTGTCCCCACTGGCACCCTCCCATAGTCTCTCCGTCACTATAACCCATATACTTTATCATTCATGCTAAGCCCAATGTGTCAAGTCTGTGTCCCCAGACATTCCCCAGTGCAAGTTCATCCATTGAGGTCTGTCTAGTCAGCCTATCTGGAGTCTCTTGTTTTAGGAAGATCATCTCTTCCTCACCTAGCAGTAATCAGTTGCCAATGTTTTTCAGCTAAGTTTGGGGTCTGCTGTTCATTTCCCCAGTTCTGAGCAGGGTTTTTGTCTGCCTGAGTTGGCATGGGACTGAAATTTAAGGCTTTTAAGAGTGTGGTCTCTAGTAAGTTGACCACCCTCCAGTGGATGGCAACACACCTAAGATCTTATGGGAAGCACAAAAATGCAACCAATATTTTTGCTTTTTTTTTTTTTTTTTTTTTTTTAACTAAAAAGAGGACACAAAGCTCGGTGAGTAGGGATGGAGGGGTGGACCTGGGAGGAGAAGGGGTGGTGAATATGATCAGAATATATCGTATGAAGTTCTCAAAGAACTAATAAAAAATTAAGGGGCAGTGAATATAGACAACATGGTTGTCTTAATGCTTTAGGATTCTTTCTCTAAACCTTTTCAGTATATTGATCTATAGTAACAAACTAGTTCTTTGTTACAAACTATAGGAAGATGCTTACTTAGTGCTGGCTCCCAAATACATATTAGGTTGTCTTTTGCATTTTTTTTTCATGCCCTGCGTTTGCTTTTCTCATTGATATCTGTAAAAAAGTAAACTTGCTAGAAAAAATTCTGTATGAGCGTATTTGTTTGTATTATGTTATAAGAAAACAAATGCCAACCATTTGTTGACAAGTATTCAGTTTCTTGAATGTGTGTGAAATACTCTGATTTCTAGTTTGGCATCCTCATCTTGTTCCATGACAGTGCTCCTGAACTCAGAAGAATTTTAGGAACTTTTATATGTTATTGATACTAGGACATTACTTGTATTACTCCCAGATCTCATGACCCCCAATGACCACCAAGGAGTCTAGAGTGTATGCAACAGCAAAGAGCCTTTATTTGGGCTTAAGCTCAGGCCCTCAGATTTCACCCACACAGAGGATATGTACTGAGGGCCCTGAAACAGGGTGGGGAAAGCTTTTTATAGGGAGTTTAGCTGAAGCCCCTGTGTGTGTGCCAGATGCACTTTAAGATGATTGGATGGTCCTATGTTCTGAGTACAGGCAGGATTCTTATTGGTAAGGGCTGTCTTTAGGGCATTGGAATGTACTAACTGTTATCTGTAGGGCCAGAAGTTTCTGTTTCTACCTTATAAGGCTTTTACATGCATGGGCTTGCTTAATCTATGGCTTTCCTGGAGTGGGGGGAGGTGGAGCAACTGGAGATTTACAACATGCCTGGGCTTGTCTGAGCTTTCCTGAAACTGCTAGCCAAAATGGAGTCAGTGTATTCTGACTCTTGCATTTTGACTCTTCATTCCCCCCTAGAGTTATGACAGGGGTTAAATCTTTAAGCCAAGCAAATTACAGAAACAGAAAGAAGTAGTTAGATGAGTCAGAGTCCCACAATTGTGTATTATTCTTTAATTTATATAAAGGAATATGATAATGAACATGTAGGAAATCCAAGATACTTACGAAACTTAAAAATATGAAGAAGTGTCAGAACATTTCTGTTCTTTTTAGGCCATATCTGAATGGGTCAAAAGTGCAATTATAACTGACATTCAGGCTTCCTCTGGCAAGGAGGCACAGCATGAGGACTGAAATCAGAAATGTCCTACAGCAGATGCTGGCAGAGAACATAGCCTCCTGGAAGGCAGTTCCCACCTCTGTTAAACTTAATGGTGTGCTACACTTTAAAGTTTTTTTCTTAGGTTTCTGAACTACTTAATAGAAGTACTAGGGAAAATAAACAAGAGTTTTAGAAATATGTGAGTTTTTTCCTTTAAAATTGTCACGAGCGTCACCTCAGGGTCATTTCCCTGAGGGAGGAATCACACTAGTCGTGTCTGTCTTTCACATGCATTTATTTATACACGACAAACAACAAAAGTCAAATGTACAATAAGGTGTCAGTCCTAGAGAGTTAGACTCTCAAGTTCTGTCACTGGAATGTAGTTCGTGGCCATGGCTGGATCCTCCATAGGCTGCGAGGTTCGACGTGGTTCGCAACGTCTCGATTCCTCTGGAGGCGGTCAGCAAGAGAAGCGAGGATCAGCAAGAAGAAGGGGCCGCACACAGCATCGGGATGCTCTGAGTAGAGTGCGCCACTGAGGTTCTCGAGGATCCAGCTTTTAAGGTCTGAGTCCATGATTAAGCAGACATCTGGTTATCAGTCCTTGTGTCCTTAGCTTGCAGGAAGGGGCCACACACAGCAGCCGGATGCTCTGAGTAGAGTGCGCCCCTGAGGTTCTCGAGGATCCAGCTTTTAAGGTCTGAGTCCTTGATTGAGCAGACACCTGGTTATCAGTCCTTGCATCATTAGCTTGGTCGCTTGCCAGTAGAACATCTGGCTAGCTCCAGAGTCTTATCTGTGTTTCACACATTCATATCAATCCATTTTCAAATAAACATTTTACTTGAGTCTTAATATTACCAGTTTATAATTTCAAGTATAAATTATATTAATTATATCCTAACTCTAAAACACTCATTACACTTCCCTATAAAAGCCTACCCCACCCTAGATCGGGGCTCTCAGTACAGATCGACTGCGTTGGTGAAATCTGAGGGCCTGAGTTTAAGCCTGAATAAAGGCTCTTTACTGTTGCATACACTTGGGACTCCTTGGTGGTCATTGGGCGTCTTGAGATCTGGCTGTGACAGCCTCAAACACACAATGTAACTGATGATGATCTTGAACTTCTGATCCTCCTGCTTCTACCTCCTGAGTGCTGAGATTCTAAGTATGTGCCCACTTTATGCAGTGTTAAGGATCAAACCTGGGGCTTTGTACATCCTAGACAAGCACCCTACCCACTGAGCCACAGCCCTAACGCCTATCAGCATCATTCTTGCCAACCATTTTAGACCAATCACTGTATGGCTGACACAATTGTATTGGTGTTACACATTTTTCAAAATGAATGCATATATCAAATATAGATCTGGAAGCCCTTTATGAAAACATTGGATTTTTAAAAGAAAATTATTTATTATTTTTATTTTAGGTATATGAGTGTATTGCCTGCATGTATGTTAGTGCACCCATGTCATGCAATGCATGCAGAGCTCAGAAGAATGCCTTGCATCCTCTGGAACTGGAGTTCCAGATGGTTGTTAGCCACCATGTGGATTCTGGGAATTGAACCCAGGTCCTCTGCAAGAGAAATCAATGCACTTAACAACTGAGCTATTTCTCCAGCCCTGAAAACATTGGATTTTTAATTATAATACTTGTAACAATTTTTACAAGAATAATTTTAAAACATGGACTCATGACTAAGAATATAATATGTAAATAACTTGAAATAAAAAGAAGACAAAAGGAGGCCATTTAGGACAAAAACTAAAAATTCATGCTGTGTCAAATTTATTTATTACAAAGTAAAAGCAATTCTGTATTTTTATATAAATTACCTTTGGAGTGTTTTTCAGATATACCCATGCACTCATTAACTCGTGTGTGTGTGTGTGTGTGTGTGTGTGTGTGTATAAAGCAGTTTTCCACTGAGCTATACTCCCAGTCCAAATCAAAACATCTTGCTTTACACACAACATTGCATATACTGCTTGTCCATCAGTGAAACAAAGTTTCTACCTTCAAGAACTTTTCAGTCTGCTTGGGGAAAGAAATATTTTTGATAAATAGATAAAATAGAAGGCAGTGGTTAAAAGATGCTTGAAGAGAGTGAGTCAGAGAATCTCAACCCAAGATTGAATTGTTTGTGGGAATCATGACAACATATTACAAGAAAGGCAGAATCCATTAGGAGATGCTTGGTAACCATAGAAAGGACTCAGGAAATGTTTGAGATATTTACTATGATATAATCTATAATACCTGAATCTGTATGAACAAATCCTTTCTCCACATTGTGGGAGACAAATGACATACAGAATCACACATGGGAACTGAATTGTGAATGGAAAAGAGGCTCGGGTGGGTGCATGGCCATGGCAGGTCAGCTTGCAATGGAAAGGCCAACACTGCTGCAGAGCCTCTTTGATCAGCAGCAGTTGGCTGTTATCTGCAGCTCACTGTTTTGTTAAGTAAGTATGCATGTTTGACTAGATAGATGTAGGATGCTTGATGCAGGCTTATTTGGGGAAGCCTGGAAGTGTTTGCCTAAATGTGTGAAAGATGGCTAAAATTTTACAATCATGCGTAAAATTTATTGGTTGTATAATTGAAAAACACAAAAACCTGTTTAAATTTGAAAATAGCATAAGAATTAAAAAGAAACAATTAATACCTTTTTAAATATCTGCTTTGGTCTGGCCTTACATGCTGTACTTACATTACTTAAATTGCTTCCATAATTTATTTTAATCATAGCAATAATTCTGCAATGACAGTATAGTTTAAACTATTTTGAAGGAGAGAAAACTAGGACTTAGGAAAAGTGATGGACTTAATGAGGCCAAGATCATACAGCTCTCCACTAGAAACTGAACACAAACTCAGGTATGCATGATTCCAGTTATTAGATATTACTGATTTGTCATGTAGGGATTTCAATCTAATTGAAAACACACACAGGTCACACATTAAAGATGCAAGGCAGCAATTATGTGGTAAAATCATGTATATGAGTGACAGAAAAGGCTATGGAAATTTGAAGAAAGAGTATCTGGCTGTGAGATAAAGGTATAAGGTTTCATCTGATCTTTAAGAGGTACAGTATTTGAGTGCTAAGAGTTTGTGGATGAGAAAGGATAATGTGCACTTCTGGTTGGGAAAGCAGCTGACTTCAAATGTGTGGAATTAGTGCAATATCAACGACATGCTCAGATGATCAAAAGAGAGCAGTTTAGAAATTTTTAGGAAAGTGAAAATAAGAAAATACATTTAGAAAATTATTTACATTGTTTGCGAACAATTTGAAATGACAAAAAACTTGAGGAAGTATCTCACAGGATTTGTCTTTCAGAAGTGATTTTGCAAAAGTAACCAATGACCATGACACCTAGTACCTTATTAAAAGTGTAGACAGTAGATACTTAAACATCTCACTAGGCCTTTTAAATATAAATATTTGGAGGTGAAGCCTGAATTATTTTTTTTTAAACACTTTAAAAAGCACTGATATTGAGCACCACGAGTCTCTGATGATTTGACAATGGGAGACAAAACATGAAGTTCTTGAAGTCTTATAAAATAGAACCTGACATTTGGAGAGAGACGAGAGAAAAAACAGAATATTAGGTCTTAAATTCAGAAAGAATCTCAGTGAGCAACTAGAAGAAGTGGTCAGGAAATCTAAATTAAAAGAGAGGATGCACTGACTAGGTAAATGTAGTAGGGTGACTGGGTGAGAGAGAGAGAGCTGCAGCATTTGACGTCCTCAGGTGTTCAGAGCCTGCCACAGTCTCTCATAACCAGAGTACATAGGATATCATTTTAAGAAGAATCCACGTAGTTATGGGTCCTGCCCAAACTGCTCACAATCTGGTTGGAGCTGAAATAGCACAGTCAGTGGGAGGATTTGCATTGAGGTGACAGCTGAAGCACAGTTTTTTATGCTCTGTGATGTTTATAATATCTCTAGGTCAGTTACGTCTTTAGAAATAAAAATTTAAATACGTTATAGTATTGTCTGGGAACATGAAGCTTTTAAATCATCAGATCTTGATTCTTAAAAAGATTGAACTTAAACTGTGTTTTCTACGAGAAGTAACACAAAAGACTGGACTGCCAACTTTGGAACTGCAGTAAATCAACCAATTATGACACAAAAAATCAAAAACATAATCTTAAACGAAAATTATAGCAGTCTTTATTTTCCTGATGATATTGCCCTTGTGCAGCTGGCTAAAGAAGTCTCTTTCACAAAGTACATTCGTAAGATTTGTCTTCCTGAAGCCAGAATGAAGGTTTCAGAAAATGACAGTGTTGTAGTTACAGGACGGGGAACTCGTTTCGTGAATGGTAAGTTTTTCAATCAACATAATAATTCTATGGGAATGCTTAAACAAGACATCCATTAATTACCCTTCCTATCCCATGCATTTATATATTGAAAAGAGAGCAAGTGGCCGGGCATAAAGCAGAGCTTCTTATCTTCGGTTGCTAAGCTATCTTTGTGAACGGTATTTGGAAAAATATCATTGTGTGAGGCAGCGAATTATAATACAAATATGAAAGAGACTAATGTAGTTAGAGACTTGTCGGGACCTTAGTGACTGAAAGAAACTGCTTCATGCTATAAATATTTTTTCTCACAAGAAAAACCAAGATGACTAAAATGCACAGCATTTGTTGCCTTCAGGTCCTTCTCCAGTAATGCTACAAGAAGCTTTTGTGAAGATTATTGACAACAAAGTTTGCAATGCCCCACATGCACTATCTGGCTTGGTGACTGATAGGATGCTATGTGCTGGATACATGTCAGGAGAAGCTGATGCCTGCCGGGTACATGTAACTGTTATCTAGTCACTGTCCTCCAGAGTACTAATTAAGTGGAGGTTTTGAATCAACATACTATGTGTTTATGAGTTAATGATTTTCACATTGTGTGGTTTCTTATTTAAATTTCATTTCAAAATTTCTTAATTTCATTTAATGCTTTGGTACCAGCCTGGACCCCAGGGATGGACACCATTTCAAACTCCATGAAGTTTTCAATGTAAGAATCCATACAAAGAATAACAAGAAGAAATTTATAAGATAGTCTTATATTATGGGAAACTTGCTGATTTGAGAATCTCTCCTCCTCCTTCTCCAGAGATGCAGCAGGAAGTTGAACAAGTTCTCACAGAGTTCTCCATGCAGACTAAGCCCAGTGCAATGTCCATAGCAGCCAAGTAGCCATCTCCATATGCACAGCTGGACTCTAAAGTCAGATTCTTGCCTGCTTAATCCAACAGTTGATAGTTGTTGGCAATATAGACTATTTTGTAGCTGCCCTAGTTTTTAAAAAATAAGTATTTATTTTAATTGAATTTTTGTGAATTTTATACAATGTATTTTGATTGCATTTAGGTTCCTTCCCCTAGCTGCATCCCCCTTACTACCCCCTGCCCAGTTGCTTATACTTTATTACACACACACACACACACACACACACACACACACGCACACACACACACTTTTTAATTTGTGTCTCCAAATGCCCTTTGCTGTGAATCCACTGGCGCATGGTTAACCTTCCTACACTCACTACTCCCCTTCTCCCAGAAGCTATTGGTTGTCAGTAGTTCCTCAGCTAGGGTTGGGCCTTCTTACTCACTTCCTTACTTGTGTGCTGGAATTTTGTCTGGGTTGAGCTCACATGGGACTTGTGTGTGCTGTCATCATTGTGAGTTATATTACTAAAGTGATCAACTGCCTGAAAAACTTGTGGTCATCCACTACCCCTGGTTCTTAAAATCTTTCTGGTCCTTTTTTTGCAATGATCCTGAATCTTGGGAGGCAGAAGTTTGATATAGGGGTCCTATTCATGGATAAGCACTCTAAAGCCTCTTATTCTCTTCACACTGGCCAGTTGTGAGTCTCTGTGTTAATTACCATCTGCAACATAACAAAGTTTCTCTGGTGATAGTTGACAAACGGATTAATCTATGGGTATAATAAGTCATCAAGAGTCAGTAACACCTGACCTGGCAAGGTATGCCCACAGTACAATAATAGCACAAATATTATGGGAATGACCTACTACTTTTTAATTGAACTTAGGATCCACTTCATAAGATGGAGCCTATACCTGGCATGGATATCAGGCCTAGGAACCTGGCTAGACAGGTCATAGGCCATAGGATAGAGCCTAATATTATTATTTCATTAAATAAAGATAGTATTAAACAAACTCCTAATGCCCTGGGTTTTGAATAAACCTGAGTTCCAGAATCCTAAGCCCATGGATAGTGAGTTGATTTCTGTACCCAAGAGCATTGATAACTCCAAAAGAGAGACAGAAATTCTTCATTTCTGTTTTTTTTTTTTTTTTTTTCAATTTTGCATAGTCTTTGCTTAAGGAATCCAGGCAGAATATCATCCGGTCTTGATATTCTGTTTTCCATTTCATTCATTCTGTTTGTGAGAGTTTCTCCT